AGATAGTCCTAATTTAATTGTAGGTAGGATAAATNAGGGAGCATCCAACACTAATGTAGTTGAATAGGTAGGCAGCGTAAGTTTATCTCTTCTATTTTATCTTGCACCCACATTACACGCACCAGCGTATTACACACACACACACAAATACATACATAAACACATATGTTAGTATTTGAGCGTAATTTTATTTTCATTACACATTCTAATTTATTATTACTAAGGTTGAGAGTAATTTAATTTCATAGGTAGTTAAGAGCAATAATGTAATTCTAAGAAAAATCTTGTAATGTAAATTAAAACGCTGTAAGTGTATCGATAGGTAGGTTAATTGTTAAGTTTTACATTATCATTATTAAGTTGGAGCCCAAGGCATTACGTAGGTGGTGGGGTGGGTGCCGAAAGGCCAATGAATTGGGCTCTTGAGTTTTGTAATTTTAGGTAAGCTAGGACCGTAATTGTAATGAATAGGTAGGTTAAGGCTACGTTGTAACACATACTCATTAATAGATTCAGGGTATAAGTTTTATATTATTATTACTAAGTTGGAGCCCAAGGCATTACGTAGGTGGTGGGGTGGGTGCCGAAAGGCCAATGAATTGGGCTCTTGAGTTTTGTAATTTTAGGTAAGCTAGGGCTTAATTTTAATGAATAGGTAAGTTGAGGGTACGATAGCCGATAGACTCTGAATTTCGAAGTCTCTTGTCAGAGGTAAGCCTTGGCGGCCAGTGGTGAACCGGCAATGGTTTACTATCCGGACGGCAATGGTTTACTATCTGCACGGTAATGATTTACTACGCGGCATGGCCATAGTCTACTACCCGCACGGCTTCCGGACGGCAAATGGTTTACTATCCGCAAGGCAGTAGTCTACTATCCGCACGGCAATGGTTTACTATCCGGTGCCCTGGCTGTCGGTGAACCTCTGTGCAAGGAGGGAGAATGAAGGGGAACTTTCGACTATCGTACCATTAACAATTTATTATAGATTAGTTAAGGTAATTGAATAGGTAGATAGGATTATTTTTATTAAGCAATTTGAGATGCAGGCACCGCTAAGCTTTCTAGTGAGAATTTTCTCTTTCTCCATTCCACGGGCTGTGTTTCAACAACAATCTCGAGGAGGACTGGCACCAGTTTTGGAGGACAACGCAGGAAACGGAAGGCATTCATCATTTTGCCTTTGTCGAATGGACGACGGTAAGTTTTTTTTAATTTTACTTTCTTTATTATTTTCAAATATTATTTATTTGCCATTATTTCCATTTTATAATTTTTTGCTTCTAAGATTCTAACATTCATTTACTACTAAGCTAATAAAAATAACTTGTCTACAGACTGATGAGAGGTGGGCAGTGGTGGGCGTCAGCACGTTTCAGATGGTTGTCTCATGATGATCGTTCCGATAAAAACTCGAAAAAAACAACAACGACGATTTTTGAAGTATGGTTTAGTTTCGTTGTTTTTATTTTTTTTCATTCATTCATTTTGTCACACAATCTTTCATTCATCCATTAATTGACTCATTCTATTCATTCATTGAATCATAGATTGGTTAATTAATTCATTCAATCACTCAATCATTTGCTCAATCATTTATTCGGTTGTTCTTTCGTTTTAACATTCATTTACTACTAAGCCAATAAAAAAAATTTGTCTACAGAATGATCTGAGGTGGGTTGTGGTGGGAGTCAGCACGTTTCATGATGGTAATCTCATAGTAAGATAAGTTGCTTCTTACTTTTTTTCAATGGCTTGTTTTTTATTTTACAAAATTAACTTTTTCTTTCAATTTTGTTTTTCAGTATCCGGTAAAATTCATTTCCTCGGTGCGTGTCAGATGATGGTCGGTGCAATGGAGGTTCGTCCGTAGTGGGTGAAGAAGTTTCTGGAGGGTACGCGCGCGCACATTTACATACACGCACACACATAAATACAACACACACATACACAACATCCATTCATTCGGTGTCGTTGTTGTTATGTTTCTCTTCAACTTTCTATTTTCTTTACCGGACTTAATTTAATTCATAGGTAAGTTAGGGATTGAGATGAGTTGAACAACTGTAGGTAGGCTAGGGCTTAACATTAGTTAAAAAGTTTCAAGTAAAATACTAACATTAACATAAATTAAAAGCTTCAAGTAAAATTAAAACGTTAAAATATGTAAAATAAATGAGTTGAGTTATCATTACAGGTAAGCTAGGGCCCTGAGAGTAATTTAATTGTAGGTAGGTGACTGACTACTATTCTTGCGACTTTTTAATATTTTTTTTTTGTGGTGTGTTTGTTTTTGCTTCTTAGCACCACACAACACCAACAAAACAAACTACAATTTTGTTTGTCGTCGCCTTAAATTTTACCATTTTTGAACAATCTTTTTAATAATATCTATTTATTTATTTGTAAAATGTTGACTGGTTTCTAGTTTCTTATTTTGGTTATATAATTTTTGGATATTTCCTGATTTACTTTGTATATATGCACGCATGAATAATTTCTGTTTGGTATGTTGATTTAGTCATTATGATATGCTGTGAACTGTCCTTACTAAATATTCATGTTTCGTGATAATTATTTTTTATCGATCGATATTTTGTTATATTTGTTTGTTTAAAATCTGAACTTTTTCAAAAATTGACATTTAACAAATTTTAATTTCGTCACTTTTCATCTTTTGATGTCAAATAAAAGCAACTGTTGTGTTTTTCTTTTCTTACTAAAATCTCGAATACAAACATGTACACATAAAGAAACACAGACACCCATACATACAAACATACATACATACATACAGGCATACATACATACTGCCATCATATATACGCAGTACAATAAACATTCATGTCATTTCTGTCAATGTATTTTAAGTATGTTATACTGTTAATCTTGTTAACTATGATGACGATCATCATCATCACAACCATCATCAACGAACAACAATAACAATATAATAATAATTACAACAACAACAACGAAATAAAAATAGTTGTTCTTATTATGCATTTCAAAAGCTTGCATTCTTCTTTTAATACAAGCGTTATATATATATATATATGTGTGTGTGTGTGTGTGTGTATGTGTGTGTGTGCGTGTATGTGTATTGTATATTTTTATCTATTTATTGAAACGTTATTTTTTTACGCATACTCCTTGTCTCCGTCTCTCTCTCTCTCTCTTTTTCTTTCTTTATATATATATATATATACATATATATATATATATATATATATATATATATATATATATATACACACATATGACTGGCTGGCTGGCTGACCGACCGACCGACCGACCGACTGACTGATTGTTTGATTGATTTATCTCATAGTATTGTATACATGAGAAAAAATCCGATTAAGCCAACCTACGGCTTCAGTAAGCCACTGTTTTTCACCTGACAAAAGCAATTTCTATATTTATATTGACAAAAATAATTGATTTATTTAAAGCATATGTACAAAAAAGTGCTATCGTAAGAGTTCTATGAAACCCTGTAAGCCACTGCTGTAAGCCAACGTATGATTTCAGCAGCCAGTTTCTTATGAGCACCAGCAGAATGTAAAATATTCATTGAATATAAGGAAGATAGTTGTTCAAATAACAATTTTGATTTATTTAGGCTGTTTATTTCATAAGCAAACCAATTTTTAACATGATCGAATAGCGCAAAAAAAAAGGGTGACTATAGTTCAACGGCAAGTTACCTCTGGAAGCAAGTTTCTAAAAATTAATAATTTGTTTTAAAAGTGAAACTATCTTTTTAACAGATACGTTTAAAATTTTGTTACACATTTTGTAATGTATCATATTTTTATAACTTTATAGAGGTTTTGTGGCTTTTCTAGTAAAAATTGGTTTAAAATTTTTATTTTTAACTTTTATTATAAGCTTTTATTATTTAGTTTAACTTTTAGTTGTACCGTGGGAGGAACCTATGAGTCTCTTTAAACGGTTTTTGACTGTTGACTGACTAAATATTGCTGGAAAAACCACTTTGTCGTCTCCGAGATTACCGTTGCTTATATAATAATTATATTATATAAGCAACTTATTGCTTTTTAACTAGCTCCACTCTATCTACCCTAGTCCTCTATTTTAGTCTAGCTACCATACTGAGTATAGTATAGTATGCTGTAGCTAGTTAAATTAAATATTTAAGCAATTTAACTAGAAGGTCTATCTTGCAGAAATAAATTAATAATAATAAATTAAAGTTTTAAATGAACATAACTTTTTTATATAAAATAAAAATATTAATATAATGACTGGTCTCAGTTTTATTCGGTTTAACTTTAACAATTTTGCTTTGAGAAAAGGTTTCATAAAGTTTCATGAATTAAGTCTAAAATGGTATAGTAAATTTGGTCCAACTGATATAAAAGGAAAAAACATCACAGCACAAAAATGGCTTCAACGACAAATGAAAGATCCTTACATCAGACAAGCTAAGCAAGAAAACTACAGATGTCGAAGTGCATACAAATTGTTAGAGATGAATAACAAGTTCGAAATATTTAGCCCAGGTCAAAGAGTCATTGATTGTGGAGCAGCTCCTGGTTCCTGGACCCAGGTGGTCATTGAGAGGGTCAACAGTTCAGGTTGCTATTGCTAAACTGATCTATCATTTAAAAAATTCAACTTTTCAAGTTTTGCTAACAATAGTACAAATGTTTTGAGCTGCTTTTTGTTTTTCACTAATTACTCTTTTTTTCAGAGAAATCAGGCTTGGTAATATCTGTGGACTTACTTGACATCGAGGCTTTGGATGGTGCTGTCACATTAGGTGGATGCGACTTTACAAAGAGTGAAACTCAGGACATGATAAAGAAACATCTGGACACTGAGAAGGCAGATGTCATCCTCAGTGATATGTCCCCATCTGCATCAGGCATCAAATCTTTAGACCACGACCAATCAATTAAACAAGTTCTGTCTGTTTTTAAATTCGCAATGGAGTGTCTGAAAGAGCAAGGAACACTGCTGGTGAAAGTATTTCAAGGAAGCCAGCTTGATGGCTTGATCAATTTACTGGATAAATATTTTGAAAAAGTTCAAATAGTTAAACCACATGCCAGCAGAGTAAATTCTTCAGAAATGTATCTGTTAGCTAGGAGATTTTTTATTAGATGAGATGAATTGTGTTTTGAATTTTTTTTACTTATTTGTAATTTTCGAAAAATGTAATTTTTTTTATTTATTTTGAAATGTTTAGAACTCCAAGCTATAACAAATTTATTTCATATTAAAATCTAACAAAACAGTAAAGCTTTACATTTTATTTCAAAATTAAAAAAATAACCTAAAGGTTTAATAAGCAAATTAATACCTTAGGCTTATGCTAATTTTGTAATGATTCTCTATTTCAATTACAATGAAGGAAATTTAATTTGGCGAGTTTAAATTGGATGGTCGGACTCTGGTTGTTGAGAATTTGTCGCAAGTTGAACACACATTCCCATCATGTTTCATGCAGGTTCCAATCAACAACTCTCATCCAAAAATATATAAATTAAATTCAAGCATTCACATCCAGATAATTCTCAATGGTGCTAAAAGCAACACGTTTGATCAAATTACCTCAAATCGTCTAATTTTCAACCTATTAATTTTGTTTGCAGTTCTTTTTTTTATATATTTATATTATTTATATTTATTTCAAGTAAACAAAGAAGACAAATAAATGTTTGAGATTTTGTTGTATATTGATTTGTTTGATGTGCATGTAGATACCAATTACATAAATGTTTTCCCAAGCATCTCCTAAAATTAAAACTTTACAAAGTAAAAAGTTAGTAAACAGATTCATTAAATTCACATTCATTTTGTTTACAATTTAAAAATCATTGTCTGGAATGTCAAAAAATATCACATTCACCAAATAAATTTTTAATATCATTAGTATCCTTAATTGAGATCCTGTTACATTAATTACCATAATGCAACAAGAGCTAAATTAAAACAAGATGAAACTAAATGCATTGTGATGAAAGTCATGTAGAAGGAACCTGAGGTGCAACAAGCAGCCATAAACTACCTAGATTGAAATCAATCCATTAGAGTCCATTAGATTGTGTGGTGCGAATAGTAATTAAATAAAATGAATATCAGATAGGTTGCAAAAAGTAGCAAGCTGTCACATTTAAGATGTTAACCTAATAATGATGACGATAGTGTTGAACTATTTAAACCCTATGTTTCATGTCTTCACCATTTCCATTTTTTCCTTCCATGCTGATAATGACACTACTAGTTGCACTATCATCACCTTTCAAACTAATAGTGGTGCTAGACTTAGTTAATGACTTATCTTTTGTGATTTTATGCTTGAAAACTGTGTACATCACACCTCCTGCAAAGTTTAAAATGATTCCAAAGATGATGTAAATGTTTAATGTGATTCCTCCAAAGGTGAACATTCCCACCACGGTTTGAAGTATGGTCTTCAGGGTGCCTGTCACACTTGTTGTCAGTGCCGAGTTGTACGTCGTGCAGAGGAACAACAAATAATTCAATAGGCAACCAAATACAATAACAGCTGTGAATGTTAGTATGAAACCGATGTTTAAAGTTATAATGTTTAATAAAAACTGTTTCAGGGCAGTGTTGAATTCTTGTGCAACTAAAGATATGATGAGCAAGAGAGGTAATGTGTTGAAACTGTTCAGATGTAATGACTCAGCTGCACCGAAATCTGAGGCATGCTTCTGCACCAACAACAAATAAATTGCCTGACTAAGGACACTTGAGAAGCCACAGAGGTAGGACCATGGTTCAAATGTTAAGTCCCCATAACCTGTTTGTGGCAAATATTATCACTTTAAAATTATAATTTTATCATTGCCATTGAATAAACAATGTACGCAACTAACTCATGAACTAAAACTTCTTATTTGAAACTTACTCACCTGCAACAATACATCCTCCGGTGATCATACCGACTGACAGACACACTGACACTTGAGGTAGAGGCTTATTTAAAATGGCCACCCCCAAGATAAGAATGACTACAGGTGCACACCTTTTGATAACACCATACATTGGAATGTTCATACCATAGAGTGCCGATAGTGATAAAACACTGTTGGCAGCATAAAATATTGAAGGTAACAAAAATGTCCAAGCTCTTTCAAATGTAAACTTTACTAAAAATTTGTTACCACTCAGCCTTAGAGCTTCCAATATTGCAATTGTGAATGCCATCTGACAACTGACCAAGAAAAATGGAAAATTAAATTTGTAGTAACTCAAGACAGCTTTATTAACAAAAGCCATTGAGGCAGAACAAGCTCCATACAAAAATGCTATGATGAATCCAATGGTTTCTTGAGATAAATTCATTTTCTTTTAATTTTGAATTGATGATCAACCAAATTGATTTTCTATGTCAATTTCTCTTTTTAGAAAACAAATCTTACTTTAACAGCCATAGCTTAGATAAGTTTTGTCATTTAAATTTAATTACTTTATTAGTTTATTATTTTTATTTAATTAATTTTATTGATTTATTTATTTTACAATTAGATTTCATTAACCCTAGGATTAGTTAAGATATTATTGTTTCCAAAGTTACTTTTTGCAAAATAATTATTAACAGAGATCATAAATGAAATCCAAAGCTCATAACAATAACATTAGTAGCTTAGCAGCAGCTTTAGTTTTTTAGAGTGATGGGCTTCTGGAGGACTTCAAGTTCAGCAGAATTATTAAAATTAAATCCAAGTTTCAATCCAAAATTTTATTAATTAACAAAATGTTTGCAAAACAGGGAAAGTAAATCATAGCAGATCATAACAGGCAACAACCAAGTTAGCGATCGGCACAGCCATTCGTCTGCGAACACTGAGCCAGCGAATCATTAGTTTTCACCTAAGCATGAAGTTTTGAAACTAAACTAAAAGTTAATTGCAGGTAAGCAAAGACACTAAATTTAAAATTTATTGTTAAAATTTATGACGGTGACGTACGCAAGAAGAGACTATCATGAAATTATAGTAAGAGAATCGAACTGTCATTACAAAATCATCCACCATGAATATTGGTGGGTTATTATAATATGACAACCTGTATAGGGAATTTTGGAATTTATCATTCATCCTATCTTAAAGATTTTCTGCATAGAATTAAAATGGCTGTTTCGTCAGGCCAGGCTGCTCTTGCTTCCAAGTGAAACTTATAATGGGAAGAATACGATACCGTACTTTCAATGAAATATACATATGTATAGGTACAAACTGGATTCTTCGTAGAGACTTGGTAAATTATGACGTCAACAGGATACATTTGTTCGACCCAGAACGCTGTTTTAGTTTATTTATGTCGAGATTAGGTATTAATATTGTTTGTCAACGGAAGAGACGTAAAGATTAAAAAAAAAAGTTTATGATAATATTGGTGGACTGATGATAATATTGGTGGACTGATGATAAGATTGGTGGACTGATGATAATATTGGTGGACTGATGATAATATTGGTGGACTGATGATAATATTGGTGGACTGATGATAATATTGGTGGACTGATGATAATATTGGTGGACTGATGATAATATTGGTGGACTGATGATAATATTGGTGGACTGATGATAATATTGGTGGACTGATGATAATATTGGTGGACTGATGATAATATTGGTGGACTGATGATAATATTGGTGGACTGATGATAATATTGGTGGACTGATGATAATATTGGTGGACTGATGATAATATTGGTGGACTGCAACTCCAGAGGTCCTTCTTTTGCTACACATTTGATGTCTAACGTTAATTTTAATTGAAAAATTGTAATTTACAAAAATTTCTTAATAAGTAATATAAAATGTTTTTTTTTAAATTCAGTGAACTTGCACAGAATAAATTCAGCGGCATGGGCGAATTTAGACAATTTTGACGAAAGCCAGGCCAAAATTTTAAACAAACAGAAGCAGCCAACATTTTTGCTGGTGTGGCCAAAATTAGCTTGACGATCCTTTTTTGCTTATCACGCAAATTTTTCGTAAATTTTCAACAAAAAGCAGTGTTTTTTGTATAAAAAAAAAACTGAGTTTCAATAAGAATACTACTCACAACAGCCCCCTACTCTCCCCCTCTAACCGTCACCTGCCCAGCGCACGTTTCTATGCAAATGTCTTCAATTTAGGTGGTGAATAAAATAAGAGCTAGCAGTTGTTGCAATGTTCTGCTGAAAATAAATTGGTGGCATTCCTTGATCCAGATTGACGATTGTTTTGTTTTGCATTAAGCAGCGAAGCAAGCCTTCGTAATAATTAAATAAATAATTTAATCCTCGTAATGTTCTCGCTCCACTTCTCTATACTTTTCAAAATTATCAAAATTTTTATTTGACTGTATATTTATTAATCTCATAACTTTTTAATTTTCCATTTATTTCATTTCAATCATTCAACTCTTGCTTATTATATTTACTCACGTATCTTCCTTCACTCCTTCACTCCTCACTCTCAGACCTTGAGAAAATCAAAACATTGCACAATGAAGGATTACTACATACTTAGTCAGATTTCATTGAAGTGATCGTGACCTCTCGTAATTTAATGACGCAAGGAATTAATTCTTATTGTTCACAATTAAAAGTTTTAATTTATTTACTTTCACGCTAAATGCATTAAAGTTGTCATAACAGAATCTTCAAAGCCTTTAACATACACTTTTTCACCGCACACTTCAAGTTAGGCAAGTTTTTTATCACTGTTTCCAAATTTATCATTTTCATTATCACAGTACATACATACATAGCTATTCTCAAACAGATCACAAAGGCATAACTTCAATAAAATCGAAGATTTAGCTTAAACATGTTAGCTTAAACCAGTGGTAGGCCAACTTTCTGCTGTAAGGGCCGCATTAAGAACTATTTTACCTTTGAAGGGCCGCATATGTACTTAAATGGCAAATTTTTTTGACCCAGGGAAAAATTTTTTCTAAGATTTTTGGCTTTTTTTTGTTCATAATGTCTGGCTGACGACCTTTTTTGGCGAACAAGGCCTCGCGGGCCGCTTAAAATAGTTTCGCGGGCCGTAGTTTGCCCATCCATGGCTTAAACACAATGCAACAAACTTTTACCAATTTCTACATCAGCACCACATCCAACTTGACACTCGTTGAAATAAATAATGCCACGTTAAAAGTTATTAAAAGTGGTCACTAACCTAAACTAAACAAGGATCTCTAATTGGTGGCATATCATTCATTTACTTGTATCACACATGTGTTGTGTGTGTTTTATGTATGGTTGTATGTATGGTTGTATGTGTGTTGTTTATATGTTATATCTCATATGTACGGCTGTATGTGCGTTATATATATATATATATATATATATATATATATATATATAGATAGATAGATAGAAAGAGAGAGAGAGAGAAAGAAAGAGAGAGAGAGACAAAAACCAGAAAACGTAAGATAGTGAGAGATAAAAATAAAAACTGGAACGTTCAATAAAATGGCCTTACCGACCGACCGACCTGAGTTGCACGATCTGATCTGAGAGGTTCTAAGATATTTTATGTAGTGTAGATGTAGTGATGGGTCGAAAGTTTAATTACCGGTACCACGTCGGTTTATGATTTGCTGAATTCGTTATTACATTAAAATTAGCAATTTTGTGTTGATATTGTGGTTTGTGTTGGTGTTGTTGTTTGTGTTGTGGTTTGTTTTGATGTTGTTTTTGTTGATGTGGTTTGTGTTGAAGATGTTGTTTTTGTTGATGTTGTGGTTTGTGTTGATGTTGATGTTGTTTTTGTTGATGTTGTTGTTTGTGTTGATGTTGTTGTTTTTGTTGATGTTGTGTTTTGTGTTGATGATGTTGTTTTTGTTGATGTTGTGGTTTGTGTTGATGTTGTTTATTGACAAGTAAAATTGATGTTATTATACAAATGAATGAAGCCTAGTGTCAAGGATTGAAAATGTCCAATTGAGAGCACCAGACACACGCACGCACACATATCAGTGTAAGTTTGTGTTGTTGTTCAATGTTCATGTTGTCGAAGATATTGATGTTGATGTTGGGGTTTGTGTTGATGCCACTCATGCGCACTGTCTATTTATAACACTCGGTGTTAACGACACGACACAACGACACTAAATCAACAACAGCTTCAGTCAACTGACATCAACAATAAATCAACAGCAACCACAACATCGACAACACAACAACAACACAACAAAAACACAACAACAACACAACAACAACAACACAACAACGACACAACAACGACACAACAACAACAACAATAACAACAGCACATCAACGATTATAGATGGTCGAAAGACAAAGACGGAACAATACTATATAACTACACTGATGATGGCAGTCAACGCCGAAAAGAGCTTTTCTGGAGTAATAACGTTGTTAATAATGTTTTGTCAAAAAGCTCAAATAGTAAAAATTTTTTATTTAACCTTAATTAACTTCATCAAATCTCGTAGAAAAATTGAGAAACTCTACTACAAGTTGAATAATGCCGAAAACGCAGTGATCTTTATAAATAATTGTATGTATGTATATATATATATATATATATATATATATATATATATATATATATATATATATATATATATGTAAGATATATATATATATGTATATAGATATAAAATATCTAAAATAATACAGAAAAACACATACATACACACACACACACATACCTACACACACACACGCACGCACACACGCACGCACACACGCTCACACACACACGTGTTAACGCTTCACTGGCTTCAAAACTCGTGTTGTTTTATTTTAAAAATAACATTGCAGGCCAGATCAGTCTAAAATACATATAGACACACGTGAACATACACAGACATACATGAACATATACAGAAATGTGCGTGCACATATACATACAACTGTATTCGTGTAATACACACACGTAAACAAAATAAACAACACACAAACACACACACACACAAACACACGCACAGGCACGACGTATTCCCGAATGCCTGAAATTGAAGAAATGCAAAAAGTAATAATAATAATTCGCAAATACAATTCTATGCGAATACTAATGTAAACATTCACATTCATTAATTCACATAAAAACATGTCACAAATTACAATGGACCTGTGCTAATGGAGAGTATATACATATTACACAAATACACACACACACACACTCACGCACACACACACACACACACACACACATGTATATAAACATACATACACACAAAACACACTCGCACACTCAGGCACATACAAAACACACACACACACACATACAAACACACACACACATACTCTTTAGAAAAGTGCATATTAATATTGTCGTTAATTGTTTAACTTTTTG